TTAACATTGTACAAATATTCCAATACAGTTATGGTACATGAACACTGTACCAAAAGCATGATTTTTATTAAACTGATGATTAAATGGAAAAGGTCTTGCAAATGTCCCTATTTTGATATTTATATCCATACCAGCAATTTATGTTTGCAGGAGCCTTCAGTCCAATTATAGAAATAGCCTTAAACATAGTACTTAACATCATAATAGGATTCACTGAAGTACAAGTCTACCTATGTTATTGAACAGGCTAGAGAAGTCCTTTTGCCCAACCCTCGTATGTGAGAAATCAAGATAAGCAATGTTCATGGGAGACTGACAAATCTACTATATAAAGTGAGAGCCCTTATTTAAATCTGAGCAACTTAAGTTTCTCCCCAGAGTACCTCCTTTTTTGGTTCCATGAAATGTATTTTGTTGTGTTTAAAGCCAACAAATTGGCATCGAATTTTCCTTAACTTACATAAACTCATCAGAATTACATGAATATTTCTATTGCTTACCTTAAAACTTCCTAAGGAGCATGCTATTTATTTCAAGTTTTACACCCTGATCCTTTCTGTCACTGAAACATGCATAAAATATTACCTTAACACAATCCTGCAATCACTGCAATTCTTAAAAGTATTATGTAATTTCATTCTAGCATTGTACAACTAGTCTACAGCAAACTTACAGGTAAGGGTTTATATTCATGAAACTGACTAGCATGTTCAACATCTAGGAAATTCTTTCTAGACTGATACCCTCAACCAATAAAGAAGATATAGTGCTATATAAGAATACTGACAAGGTTCATCAGACATGAAAATCCATAATTACTTTTAATCAGTGCTTATATCGTAATTATTTTTTATATGATATGGTCAGAAATGCCTAGTTCCTAAATTTAATTTCAATTTATACTTTACCATCATGAAATCCCCTACAGACTATAAGATGAGAAATTTTAATCTTTAGCAATAATTTAAATACTGACTCTTAATCCTACCAATATCTACTAATTATATCAGCTATCCTAGGTTTCAGACAAAACACAAGTTGTTCACAGGTTTATATTTCTGCTATGTTCAAGGTCTTAATATTTCAGCTATGTAATTTCCTCTTGACCCAAAGTCACTGTCTCAATATATCTCTAAACTGAGGCCATTATTGTTTGTCAAACCACTAAAATCTTTTAAACTTTCATTTTACGACGTTAAGATTAGTTTGGAAGATTTTAAAAAATAGTATCTTTGGTGTTTAAACCCTCATTCTACCAACATCTTCCTGTTTTCACTAACATTAGCATGCAATAAATAATCTCTTTAAGATGCATTATATGTTAATCTATCCAACAAAATATAGCAAATATGCTACTAGACTGAAATCACAGTTAAAAGAAAGTAAATTTATTGTCTCTCCAACAGACTTTTTAGATTATAAGGAATCTATTTTGCTCACTTAAAATATACCCTGAGTATTTCATTATTTCACACTTGCAGGCCTTTCCTGCTTATCTGCTACCAATTTAAGATTAAGTGAAGTATTATTATATGTTCCTATTAAGAACAGAATAATTTAATATTAAAGTCCTATTTTTCTACAAGGCTGATATAATCGCCCACTTATAGGATATGGGCATTATCCCACACTCAATGCCCCACTACTGACAAAAAAAAAAAATAGGAAAAAAAAAGTTCTTACCAACAATTCCACTGGTTATCGTCCCCAGCGAACCCCACCTAGCAAGTCGACATCATGACATGTCAGGTCAGGGCAGCCTCAACCTCGCTTCCCTGATAGTCAGGTGATAAAAGGAAGGAGTTAAAACAGGAAAAGTACACTTGCAGATTTCTGGATAACATCTGAAAATGATTAAAAAAACAACAAAAACAAAACAAAACAAAACAAAACCAGAGCTTCTGGTAACCTCTAAATTAAAAAGTATATACATGTAATTTTATTTAAAGAAAAAAAACTTTTCCAGAAGGATTAACAATGACTTCAAATTATTTATTACTAAATTACTGAACAATACATTATATATGCAATATTTTTAAAGCTTGGTGTTTGTATTTGAAAATTAAGACCTAATAAACAAACTTCTAATATAAAAGTAAACATGTCTGGCTAATGGATTTGTTATTCTGGATTCTCCAGTCAGTCATCCAATCTATTGGTTTCCTCAGAACAACTCCACCTCTAAGTTAACAGAAGCTCCCATTCTTAGAGAAACATAAACACACTTATAATTCCAGTGCACTCTTTCTATAAGGCTTTTTCTTAGCTGCTCACTTAGGAGATGCCACATAATTGTCCGCATAATAATGAACAACACTAAAATTAACTTTGGTTAGTTTTAAGAATACTGGACACCTCAGTATAATACAATTATCTTTGAAAAATCAAAATGACAGGTTTTAACATATTTAGAAGCCTTGATAATTGACAAGCAATAGCCTTATAGCAAGTATTTACTGGAAGGGTTTGGTTTTACAAATACACAATTAATAAAACGTAGGCATGATTATATTCAAATGGGCAGGAGGCAAATGATGTAATGAGTTTCAAGAATAATATTATATGGCTTTATGCTAGGAGTGAAATTTTATGTCCCTCTCTCTGAGAATTTAAAATATATATTTTGTTGCATGCTGACCTTTTTAAAAAGAATTTATCTCCTAAGTCAGATTTCAAAGTCAAAAGAGAGAAAAATGATCTTCTAATATCAGAAAGCATTGGGCTTTCTTATGCAGAATAACCCCAGTAACTAAAAAAACCTAAAAAACAATTATGCTAAACTTATTTTTTAAAAAAACTACAGAATCATAACTCATTTTCCTTATCTTTTCATCAAATAAACCTGTATTTATTAGAAATCTGGCAACTTATTAGAACATTTTGCTCTTAAAAATTAAAATACCTTCATATAAATACATACATTTAAGCAACTGCTATAAATGAGTGATCAAATAAAAATTAGTATTCCATTATGGGGAAGGGTATATTTGTATCAGTCTCAGGAGGGTACCTACAAAGAGGAGCTCTACCTCAAATGTATTTCCAAACACACACTTCACCGTAACAGGCTTATAAATAAAGCCAAATCAATTAGCTTGGGGAACAAAAAAGATGGAAAGGTAGGAGAGCAGGAAACCAAATTCCTTAGAACTTATAATTTGTACTATTTTTTAAAAAATGCCAATCTAGAATAAAGACCTCCCTCAATTGACATTTTTCAGGTTCATATATAACACTGTTGGATTTATTTATGTGAAAAGTTGAGCTCTGAATCTATTTTCTCTGAATGCTGCTACAGTGATCATTTATAAGACATCAAAGAAAAGCTCTCGAGTTTTAATGTATATAGGATTATGCTTTACAATTTAAAATAGCCACAAAATCTATAAACCAAATATTAGAGGGATACCTCTGCAAATATATTTTTAGTGAGAAGGACAGAGGAGCAGGTGGCCATTTTAAAATTCAAAATATAATTTGCAATTAAAGGAAAGGATTTTGACATGTAACCCAAGTTTTAGTCTAATGTTTTTGCAAGGGTTTATGCTTTGTCAGAATCATTTCTATCCCCATTCTTAATATTCTTTTTGACAACTTTGTAGCTTGTAACACCTAATTAAGAAATAAAAACAACTCAAATTTGTAGGTTTTGTTCTTTCCAGGAAAAAAAAATCAGTGTATAGTTACAACTTCAAACTGTACTTTTAAAGTTTAAAAGCAGCATTTAAAGAATGTTTGGTGTCTTTACTTGCATACATGGGCATAAGAAAAACAACTGGTTCTGTTTTACCAAAGAAATACCCATGGTTAACTCAAAACTATCATACAACAGACCATAATTTCTTTATCAGTTTCCAAAAAACTAAAATATCAATGGCCTGTTAAACGACTGTACTGTGTAATAAGGGTACTTAAAAAAAGAAATGAAATATATTGACTTTCCTCAGTAAATATTAATTTTCTTATTTGAAATGAAAAGAAGCCATGAAACCCAAAATATGATCTAACCAAGATTACATGGAATTAAGTGGCTTATGATTTTGAAATCTAATATTCTTATCACAAAGACACCAAACAGTAACAAAACACAAAATAATGGTGTATCCATTTTAATTATTCCCCAATGGCTTCTGATGTTTTTATCACTATAAAAACATTTGAGAACCACGTAAGAATAAGATGGAAGGGAAAATTTAATAGTAATTTGAAAGGGATTCAGACTCTGCTGTACCGTAAAGCTTAGATTCTTTTGTTCCTCTCATTCTCAAGCAAAAAAGTCATTAAAATAAATCAGAATTTCTAAAGGAATAGAGAAACAGATGTTATGTATTGGCCAACAAAAAATTCAGGCATCAGGGATAGCAGATAACTAAAAATAAACGAGGTGTTAACAGAAAGTCAGGGGTATTACTACTGGATATTTTTAAGCCTCTCTTACAAGGCATAAATGTTTCTCAAAGCAAATTTACATAGCAATAGGAAATTATATTCATTAACTAAAATGGAAGTCACTATCATGTTTACTAAAACTAAAGCCTGCAGTGCAACTGACGCCACAGTACTAACAGTTTTCCCTGTATGTACATTCACTTATTCTGCAAATAAGGTCTTCAGCCACAAATTAACCCTTATAAAGAATGTGGGTCAAAATAAATTTGCAGTCTGCTTTCCCAGCCACATTTTGTTTTAACGCAAATTATCCAATGCCTGCAAAGAATGCTCAAAAGTCTTTGAACCTGTTTTTTTCTTTTAAATAAAGGATAAAATTTCAAAATTAGAAGAGACTATGAGAGAACACCAATTAATGAAGTGCTAATTGGAATAATACTTGAATTTAGACTAACCCTCAGTCTAATATCCACCATACATGTTGGAATAGACAAGAAATTTTGCATGAATTTGATCACTCACATAGGCAGTTATACTTTGAAAACAATATTCCTTGCAAGGATTACGAATAAAATGATGTTTTAGGACACAATTGAATTTGAAATAGGTAATGTTTTGAATAGATTTTTTAGTTTTATTGAAATCTTACATGAACAAGAAATTGGAAATACAATCACATCAAAGAACAAATTGTCACGGCTTTTGACGTTTAAGCCAAACAAATTTTGTAGGGCAGATTTCAAAAAGGTGTGAAGTTATAACAATTTAAAAACACAGTTGACCTACTTCTAGGAATGCAAAACATACAATCATAGGTTATTTTCAATACAAGAAAACTTAAATTTGTTTGCTTTAATCTCTTAAAACTACTAAGACAAAGCACTAGCTTGTATTTTTATTTACAGCATACTCCATACTCCTATGTAATCTATTCCAAATCCAAAAAAATGAAACTGTCCAAAACCAAAGGTTCTGCAAAATCATGATTTAACAGTGTGCCCAGCTTGTTTTGAAGCTAAAATGAAGCCTGAAACGATAAAAGCATTGTAATCCCCAGAATAAGGGAACTCTGCAAGCCCAATAATGTCCAAGAGCATTTATGAAAAGAGGAAAAATAAAAAGACTTGAGTATATACACAATAGTGATTTCTTCAGCCCAATACAAATGGCAGCAAATTGCTACTTAAAGATGAAACAGTTAAGCCATTTTTTTTTTGAAGAATGTAGATCTAGAGCCAATCGTATCTTGCCAGTATCATTTTCAAGCCCTTACTTGTCTACTTCCACTGTTGCCCATAAGTATCCTGATAAAATTCCTGGTTGTCATTATTGTAACCATAGTTACCAGAATAGTCACCACCTTGCTGAAGCGGCTGCTGAGCGATGGGTTGGGAACCCCAGTTCTGTTGGTTGTTGGTCTGACGACGCTTGGAATCAGGCTGGTTGTACCCATCTGCCTTTCTCTTGCCTCCTACATTGCCCCCACGATTGCCCCGAGATCCACGGGAACCACGGCCTCTCTGCTGTTGTGCAGGACCCCCTCTGCCACCCCTAGAGCCTCTTGGTGGTCCCAAAGGTGCCCCCCTCTGTGAATAGCCAGCTCTACCTCTTGGAGGTGGTGCTCCCCTCCCCCTTGGTGGTGGTGGAGCACCTCGCCCTCCCCTTCCTCCTCCTCTTCCTCTTACTGCATAGCCATCATCATAGCCGTAGTAGGGATCTTCATAGCCTCCACGATAGTCGTGATAATCATAACCATAGTAATCATCATAGTAATCTTCATAGCCATAGTAATCTGGAGGGTAGCCATATCCACCTCTCCCCCCACCACGACCCCGACCTCTAATTGGAGGTGGCATTCGAGGAGGAGGGTGGTAGTAATAATCTTCATACCTAGCAAAGGAGGGAAGGGAGAGAAGAAAAAACAAATTAGTTTGCTTCAAGACCCCTGATTTTATTAATCTGATCTCCATTATTGTTATTCCTTATCCAAAGAGATAAATACTAAAATGTAGACTCACGCAGTGCTTCTGGAGGCCTGTCTAGCAGCTTGACGCTCTTTCCTTTTCTTGTCTGGTGGCTTGGCTAAGACTATTTCAATTTCTTCCCCTTCTATTTCTTTGCCATTCATTTCATCCATTGCCTATATAAAATTAGAAAAATTAATTTACTTTACAATGTTTTATAATAAAACATAACATACACATGTCATTAATATACTTAATAAACAATTTACTTCACAATTATTTTAAATGGCAAAAGGTAAATCTAGCCAGAAAGGTAAACGCGCACACGCGCACACACACACAGAAAAAACGTTTCCCTTGACCTAATCTTTTTATATGTAAATTACATCAAGAACAAAACCAACCTCCTGATATTATATTTTAAAAGGTAAAATAGTTGCCATCTATTGTTTCTCCTTAATTCCAAATAACCAACTCCTTAAAAGATAAGCCATACTAAAGAAAGAAGCAAATCCATACCAGGGAAAAACGCCAGTATTAATGCAAACCAGACAAAGATTAACTTTTCAGGATTAATTTAAAAATAAACGTGTGGCATTCAACATACAGGTCTTACACTGTTCTTATATAAAAATTTCAAGGATCTGAAGCACAAATGAGGTTACTGAGTGAGATTATCTTTAAAATTCAACGAGATACCAACACAAAAAGCCCAAGTTCCCCTACAATGCTTAACCCAAAATGTACTCTGCCTGAACAGTTAAAAGTAGAGAGCCAGAAAAGGCCTGGACTAATGAAGTAATGAAGACTCAAGCAATTACGCAGAAAGCAGTAATCAAACATTCCACGTTCTTGCCCTTTGTTCATGCTGTTCCACCTAACAACCTCTGCCATTCATCAAAAGGTTCAGATAGTAAGAAAATGTCACCTCCTCGTAATTTATTTTTTGTTTCCCTCTACCTTTCCCCACTCTGGGCGCACATACTAAAAATGTTCTATTTATAAAGAACTATCAGTGATTTATAAGTATCTAGAAAAAAAACTGAAGACTTCAATTTTCCCTTTTACCACCTCAGCTTTACATTTCTTCCGTTAAAGCAACTCAACAACTTTACAAAAGCTTCCTGGCATAAATCAAAAAATGAAACATCTATTGTCTGCCCTGACCATCCTAGTGACTTCCCAGTTCCTGGACTAGATATTTTGTAATTTCATAGGCTTCTTTGGCAAACCATCCTAAAACAATCGAGACAGGAGGAATATTTGGAAAGCATAAATTATCAGTCATCTGCATTCTATACCAGTGGAAATTTCAGAAGCCACACATTAACAGTTAAGAGTGTAACAGTATAACAGGTAAGACTCCATATTTCAAAGCCAGGTTATTACTGAGTTTATGATCTTGGACAAGTTATGAATTTTATTAACAATACCATTCATTAATTAGCTACCATAAATGAGCAAGCCAATTAATTCTAAACTAGTCAGAGATTCTATAAAGCCTGTTTAAAATGCAGTAGCCTGGGCAAAAAACAAAACAAAAAAAATGCCCAAATTAGAGGTGCAGTACCCTGTCGACCAAATATGCAGAGAAAGAACCAAGCCTGTGTCACTGAGCATTCTGGATCTATCTTCCTAATAACATAAAAAAGATCTTAGTAATGTTTTGTCTTCCTTCCCATCCCTTCAAGGAAGGACAGATGAACAAGAAAAAGAAACTGAAATTTTCACCCATTAAAGATGGATCTAAACTGCGGAGCACAGTGGCTCAAGCCTGTAATCCCAGCATTTTGGGAGGCTTAGGTGGGCAGATCATGAGGTCAGGAGTTCAAGACCAGCCTGACCAACACAGTGAAACCCTGTCTCTACTAAAAATCCAAAAATTAGCTGGGCATGGTGGCATGTGCCTGTAATTCCAGCTACTCAGAAGGCTAAAGCAGGAGAATCACTTGAACCCGGTAGGCAGAGGTTGCAGTGAGCCAAGATCATGCCATTGCACTCCAGCCTGGGTGATAGAGCAAGACTCCACAAAAAAAAAAAAAAAAAAAAAAAAAAAATATGGTCCATTGTCAATAGAAAGCAGAGCAGGTTTTGTGTTCCAGATAGTATATGAAAATACATTTTTCACACTTCATTGTCATCAAAGACTATTATACACAAGAGCTAACTCTAACAATTACTGAAATCAGTAAAACATAGCCAATGTTATTTTAACTCTAAAATAATTAAAGTAAAACTAATCATACCATCACAATGTATCTACCCAATCAAACACTGTATACTGTGAGAGTTATGTGCACCATTCAGTTTCCTTCATAGGTACACAAACTGAGGTAAACTAAGTAGTTATAATACATTCACTACCTATTTAGTGTTTACAGCAGCTAATTTTTATGCCTTGTAATACTTCCAAGGCATCATGCTATCAAATCTTACAAAACAATACAGAGATTAAAAATAGCTTGCCTAAAATCACCAACTCAGTAATAATCTGGCTTTGAAATATGAAGTCTTATCTGTCATAATACTACCACTTTAGAGATTAAATAGAAAGTTCCAGAGTTCAGCAAAAGCTAACAACCAATTTTATTTGTTTTTAAAGTTATTTTATGTGTTTAGCAACTTTTGAAAACAAAATTCAAATATCAAGAACCAAAATTCCAAAATTTCTACCTTAACGGCTGCTCCTCTGTCTTCAAAATGAACAAATGCATAATCTTTCAACTTCTTCACTCTTTCAAGTTTTCCAAATTCAGAAAATGACTTTTCCAATATTTCTTCTGTGACTGTAGTAGCCAAATTTCTCACAAACAAAACTTTTACCTAGTAAGCAACAAATAAACGGAACTGTAATTGGCTACTTAATTCTACCTGAAAAGTGTTTCTTCCTGTCTTCAAAGCATAGGCTTTTCCCCTCTAAAACATTAAGTGCTAAAAGTGCTGTTACAGGTAGTATAAGAAACTGCTAGGAAAATTATACTAATAGCAGTCATCAATTTATAAAAACTATTGGTTACTGCCTTCTCCTATGTTGTCATTAAAGCACCTAACACTGAGTAGAACCTTCAAGAAACCAACATATAATTATTATTTCAAGTTAATTAACAAATTTGACATGGTCCCCAAGTCCACTTCAAAATAAGCTTTTCTTTCTTCCCTCTAAAACCAAGTAACTTTTAAAAGTTCATATGAAAAAATAAATAAGCAAGAATAACCAGGGGGAAAAAAAAGTAAAATTTAGAGACTGGCCCTACTGAATATAAACAAACATAATCCTTAAATCACTAAATCAGGTACTGTTAATCAGAAAAAAAAAAGATAAAAGATGGTCCACACTTCACACTATAAACCAGCATAAACTCCCAACAGATTGAAAATTTAAATGATAAACGGGTGGAGGGAGGACTAAGAAAGTATCAGAATAAGGATGATTTCTTTATATATCACTGGAGTGGAGATGACCATATGACTTAAAATCCAGGATACATAAGAGTGATATACTCAACTACTAAAAATAAATGACTTCCATATGGCAAAAAATACCACAGGCAAAGACAATAAATATGGAAGAAATATTTGCAACATGTATCATGAACAGCTAATCTCTCTTTTATATCAGAGCACCAGAAAATAATAAAAAGCTCAACAACTGAATAGAAAAATAGGCAAAATTCATGAATACATGGTTCACACCAAGAAATGTATATGGCTCTTAAAATATATTTAAAGTTCAAACCATGCATAGTAAGAGAAGCAAATCATTAATGACACTGACACACCATTTGTTAACAGACTGGCAAAGTTCAAAAGTTTGATCATACACTGTTTTGTCAAGAATGACGAAAACTGTTCTCTTGTATTTTCCTGGTAGAAATGTAAAACAGTGTATGTCCTACAAAGGGTATATGGCAGTATCCTAACAATTACAGATGTATTTACCCTTTGGCCTACGATTCTACCCCTAAGAACCTCTCCTACAGATATATCTCAACTTCTATCAATTGATACAAGCTTATTCATTACAGCATTGTAAGAGCAAAAGATCAGAAACAATTAAATATCCAGCTGGTTAAATACACTATAGTACATCCACAGAATAGACTACTATGTAGTCATAAAAAATGAAAGAGAGCTCTATGAGCTATAAGAGATTGACAGGATACACTGCTTTTCCATCTCTGAAATAGAGAAACAACTTAGTCAATGTGATAAGCAAGCATTGTGCAATAGTTTAGTTAGCAGTGTTTTATCATTTCTTAGTGGTACATATAATAATGGTACATTTCCTTAGAGCTGATGAAACAGGATGGTGAATAAAGCAAATGTAGGTCAGTGAACATGATAGGCTACCAACATTACTACCACTCATTTAAGAATTAAGGAAATAAGAATATATATTTGTACTTGCCTAAGGAAATATTAAAAAGATAAACCAAAAACTACTAAAACTGGATGCCTTGCAGGGGAAAAAGGAATTTGGTAGACATAGGCACAGGGTAGAAAGGAAATTTGTCTAGACTTTCTATATAACTTGAACTAAGAAAATGTAGCACCTATCCAAATTAAAAAACTAACATACTGAACAAATTGTTGCTTAAAAGGGCTATCCAATAAGAAGACATTAATTTAAGGAAGAAAAAAAACTAACATTTTTCACAAATGCTCCATTCCCTTTATTCTCAATCTGTCACACTGAGGTCCAGCCTCTATGTTACACAGACTCCCACTGACTTAGTTGCTTTTTTAAAAAAATTCAACATGAACTTTTCTACGATTAAACCATAACATACTATATGAAAATTACTTAGTGAAACTGTGTTTAAAATGTTCAACAGGAAAAAGGGTCCCTTTAAGAGACATAATTTAGGCTTTTAGGTTCTGATCTATTGTAAACTGATCCAACTTGGCAAAAAAATCTTCAGTGAATTCACTGAATATTTTGATAGTGTGAATAACGGAAGCTTTACTCAAATGGATAAACTTTTCAACTAGAAAACAATAAAGGGGCTGGGAACAGTGGCTCACACCTGTAATCCCAGCTCTTTGGGAGGCCAAGGTGGGTAGATCATGAGGTCAGGAATTCAAGACCAGCCTGGCCAGTATGGTGAAACCCCATCTCTGCTAAAAATACAATTGTGGTATATGCCTGTAGTCTCAGGTGCTCGGGAGGCCGAGGCAGGAGAATTGCTTCAACTGGGGAAATGGAGGTTGCAGTGAGCCAAGATCACGTCACTGTACTCTAGCCTAGGCAACAGAGCGAACTCTGTCTCAAAAAAAAAAAAGAAACAGAAAGAAGGCCGGGCGTGGTAGCTCACGCCTATAATCCCAGCACTTTGGGAGGCTGAGGTGGGTGGATCACGAGATCAAGAGATCGAGACCATCCTGGTCAACAAGGTGAAACCCCGTCTCTACTAAAAATACAAAAATTAGCTGGGCATGGTGGTGCACGCCTGTAGTCCCAGCTACTCAGGAGGCTGAGGCAGAATTGCTTGAACCCAGAAGGCGGAGGTTGCGGTGAGCCGAGATCGTGCCATTGCACTCCAGTCTGGGTAACAACAGCGAAACTCCATCTCAAAAAAATAAAAAAAGAAACGAAAAGAAAAGAATAAAGGAGCTGGGTGTCGTTGCATGCACCTGTAGTTCCAAGCTACTTGGGAGGCTGAAGCAGGAGGAACCTTAAGCCCAGGAGTTTGAGGCCGTGGTGTGCTATAATTGCACATGTGAGCAGCTACTGCACTCCAGCATGGGCAACATAGCGAGGCCCCATTTCCGAAAAAAAGAAAACAATAAAGGCCTCTATAATATTTAATCCCAAGTTTATAAACTGCTCCTTTTCATTCCGAAACCTGTTTTTGATCTAGGAAAAAGGAGTTACTAGAATAAAATCTTGAAGTTTTCTAACCCTGAAAAAAGATTAGGATGAACTTCCATCTGGGCAGTTACTAAAGGTTATGTGAGAAGTGGTTGGTAAGCAAATCACAAGCTATACTTCAGGGAATTTTATTCCTCTTTTATAATATGTAATACATCTATAATGCCATTTTAAAATATTTTTACAGAAAAAGCAATACAGGCTATACTTAGTTTCTACAGATAGATTCAAAGTTGTAGTGGATCTTAAGAGATTGATCCAGCCTCAATAAAATAGATGACATCCCATGTTCAGTAGCTTACCAAAAGTCACAGTTGTGTTAGAAGAAACAACGGGAATTAAAATCAAGCTAGTAAAAAAATTAAAACTCAGAGCTATTTAAATTTTCAATCCCTTTCCTAGACACCCATCTACTCAAATCTACTCAAGGAATATCAGATAAAAGATACTGACTAGCATTTCAGAGAGGCTCTCTGGTTCACTCTCAATAGATCTTATCTGCTTAACCCAAAGATGTCATTACCTACAAAGACTACCATACTAGTATAAACCAGGGTTCTCCTCCAAACTATTCAGAGCGAGGGTTTGCCTCCTCAAATTCTGGAATAAAAAGCTTGACTTTTGACTTGTCAAAAAGAATCCAACCACTTAACTCATGGCCATTCAGAGTTGCTGCCTCCCTGATGAAGGGGAGAGACAACTAAAATGCTCAAGAACTCATTGTAAGAAGCAGAAATGCAACTCTGATGTGTCCCTTTAACTCCAGGAGTCACCAAAAGGAAAGCTTAAGAACCAGTACTCATGGCACCACTATTAAGATCTTGGCAATGCAAGTACAGGGATTAGGAGGGAATTGAGGGCCCTCTACAGGACTTGCCATGCATATTTTGCCCCTAACAAATAAGAGCAAACATGACAATTCTTTGCCTTTCTTCATGGGGACAATACACTAAGGCAACTTGATCATTTAAAAATAACAACAGGCCGAGTGTGGTGGCTCACGCCTGTAATCCCAGCACTTTGAGAGGCCGAGGTGGGCGGATCATGAGGTCAGGAGTTCAAGACCAGCCTGGCCAATATGGTGAAACCCGTCTCTACTAAAAATACGAAAATTAGCTGGGCGTGGTGGTGGGCACCTGTAATCCCAGCTACTTGGGAGGCTGAGGCAGGAGAATCGCTTTAACCCATGTGGAGGTTGCAGTGAGCCAAGATCATGCCACTGAACTCCAGCCTGGGTGACAGAACAAGACTGTCTCAAAAATACATACATACATACAAACAACAAAAAAGCTTAAAAAAAAAGAAAAAATTAGCTATAAATCTAAATAAAACGTAATTCATGCCCAAGTAATAAAAGTCATAATATGGTCAATGAAGATGATAATTTATAATCTCCAAAACATTACTTCTCTCTTTACTCAAGATCTTTCTTTTTTTTAACCTCTAACCTTCACAGTGCCTAACACTAAACAAATACCCAGTGTGTATGAAAATACTTAATTAAAGAAATTTCAGTTCAGTTCCTTTTGCACATTTAATCTGGAGGAAAAGGGAATGGTTAATGGAAATTCCTGGATACCAAGACAGGCTGTTAACTTTAGTGTTAAAGCAGCTCCTTGCCAAACAGTTAAAGTCTAAAGCTACAATTTCTATTTATCATAAAACTCAAAATATTTGAGCTTTATTCTGAATACAAAATTTAAATGATAACCCTACCCCCACCCCAAGCAACTGTATTTACCTTAGCCATGACTTCTGGATCTGGTTCTTCCACAGGGTCAGCCCATTCAACTGTAACTACATTTCCCCATACTTTTACTTTTCCACTCATCAGCCGGCGTCTGGCTTGTGCTGCTGACTTGTGATCCTCATATTCAAGGAAGCAGAACCCCCGATTCTTCTTTTTGTCATCGGGTTGATGATAGAGAATAACGTCCACCAAACCCTCTGTTAAACCAACAGCCAGATATATAAGCCAAAAGCATCCACCACACATCTAGTGATTAGGCAGACCTAAATCCACTTGCTGACGAGCAAAAAATAAGTGAAGCAGCCTCAAAATGAGTCACTAATTTTGTAGACAACTAGAGACAATTAGACCAACATAATTAGATATGGGGTTTGGGACAGTATTTAATGTTCCTTTTTAATTTTAGGGGTCCTGAAGGTACAGTAACATATAACAAATCTAACTACTGTATTCTGAAGTTTAACATGCTACAATGTTTTAGAATGTTTGATATAACATGACTTTATAAAAGCACTAACAAGGATCTTAAAAACAAATTCTTAATATAAGCCCAAGAGAACTAACTTTTGACAACTAATCATGGCCAAAAATCTCCTTGAAGGTAACTTAAAAGTTACTATTTTTACCAAGAATGGAAGTAACCGCTAAATATTAGTGTTCCTCTGGTCTTAGTCCTTTGCCCTGTCTCTCTATATGTGTTCTTTCTAAACAATGCTCAGCTAGCCCTACTTTTAAATATTATCCATACCTTTATAAATACTTAGTTTTTTTTCCTAGCCAAGACTTCTCAAAGCTTCAGATGTGCCTACATTCTTACTTGATGTATCCTCTTTGATGTCTTAGATATTGCAAATTTAACAAGTCCAAAACCAAACCACCGTGGCCAAAATCTGCCTTCCCGAGACTTCCTATCTAATAAGCAGTGCCATTCACCTGGTTCTGAAGCCAGAAATTAGACATTCTTGATTCTTTCCTTTACTTCATCTCTCCTATCCAGTTCCAAACTCATTTACTTCTTTCTACCTCCACTGCCATTACGCTAATGGGTAGTACTATCTGTACTAGTATGACAGCTTCAACTAATTCATCAGCTTCCACTCTTGCCCCTCTCTCCAAGCCCCCATCCAGAGCAGTAGGAATAATATCCCATAAACATGAAACAGGTGTTATTTCCTGCTTGAGACATTTAAATACCTTCTCATTATAAATACAATAAAAACTCAACTCCTTACATGGCCAATAGAAGCCCTGCCTACTTCATCTCATACAATTCTACTCCTAATTCTACCTTTTAATAACACTGCCCTCCTCAGTTACTGTAATACACTGACTTCTCGCCTTGGAATCTTGGCATGTGTTGCTGTCTTGGAATACACCTCCTTTTGCTCTTTGTACGCTACATCCTCTTCACCTTTCAGGTGCTGGTTGACATGTCTTCTTATCACAAAAGTCTTACAGAACCATCAAAACAGGGATAGTAGTTATTCTCTTGAAAAATATCCTGTATTTCCTGCTTCAGTGTCTTATCACAATGTCTAAATATTCCTTTAATTTTTATTTTTTATATTCTTGGTCTTATCTTCTTTCACAGGATATAGGATCTATGAGAGCAGAGAATATGCCTCTTAGCCACCAATGTAACCCAGGCACATAGCACAATGCCAGCATTTAACAGGAACTTTAATAAACACCTGCTGAAAGAATGAGTATGACCACAAAGCCAGAAGGAGCTATAGATAATAAAGTGATAAGGTTAAAGAACTGTGCCAGTAGGGGCATTTGACCAACACAATATAGCGGGTGGTGGCAGTGGTTACAAAGTGGGACACTAGAAACCAAGAGATCTAAGTGCATACAGTTTCTGGTGACTAGATCCAGAATGTAATCTGGATATGGTAGAGCTGAAGTAAAGGACTAAAGGTGACGTCACAGAAGCAGGTAGGAGTCTAAGGCCTTGGATGGTTCACGAATGTAGATATATCAGGAATAAGTCCATTTAGGGCAGAAGAAGAAGACGGTAAGCCAGAAGCAATCTTTAGATTAATGAAAGACTGAAATCAGACGAGCAATGAATGCCAGCTTCAAGGAAAGGGAAAACATATGTCTGGATGATAAAACTATAAAGAAAGAGTGGTTTTTACAAGGGGAGGCAGTGGTCCATAGCAGTGCTTTTAAATCATTATGTAGTATTAGATCACAACCAGAGTTTTTAAAAATGAAATAGAATAATACAAAATAAATCATGTGTAATAAAAGGACAGTTTTGTTGAATTGTTTCCATCATATATGTGTATAGAACTATGATATAAAATCTACTCAATCAATTCCATGGATTTAGAATTGAAAATTTTTTTAAATCTGATCTAGACAAGGCAATAGGGAGGGAGTAAGAACTTTCATCTTCTTGGTCCTAAAACACACTGATTATCAAGGGGAAAAAAAAGCATTTACTTGAAGGTTATAGAGCAAAAGCTCCAGCAAAAGCCAAGGTTCAACTAAGACAAAGAAGTGAAGGGGACAGTCCAAGAACTGAAAGATATAAAGGAACTTACTTAAATCCAAACCACTATAAAGTAGAAAGGAAGTAATTAAGACACTTTAGACTTGAATTCTTAATTTAATACATACAACTCCTCAGTTTTTTTGAGCACTTATAAGTAGTACAACACATTTCCCAAAAGAATTTCTAAATACATTTTTGTTTTACCTGTGACTTTACTGAATTCTTCCAGAATGTTTTCTTTAGTCTTATTCTTCGGAATGGATCCAACAAAAAGTCTGTTGTTTGCCACAGAAATGCACACTCCAAGGTGTTTACCAGGGCGAATTTCATAGCTGTCACACTGCAATGAAGAAAAGAACCAGAGACCCCAAAACCACCCCAACCTCAGGACAACTGATCTTAATCTAAAAAATACAACAATTTATGGCCAAACGCTCCCTGGCTAATCAACTCACCAAGTTCCCTCATGCTTTCCACAATATGAATGTATATGTTAAACTTCATTGTTATGGTCTCACTTGTTTTAGTTTGGTTTTGTTAACCTTCACTGCTCTTCCATATAAAAAGGACTCAGTTATTCACTTTATTTTTTAAAATATCTTATTTCATGTTTTATCTATCTGAAAATGTTTTTCTAGAGATTTTTTATTAAAAAAATCCTGATTACTCAGGGTCCTTGGAAATGTTATTAGATATAGTTAAGCCATAGTCAAAATTACAATTACAACAAGGACTGATTACTCAGGGTCCTTGGAAATGTTATTAGATACAGGTAAGCCATAGTCAAAATAACAATATGTAACTATGTTTAATCAATGCAAAAAATATTAGAAAAATTTCAAATTCTACAGAAGTCACAGAACTCTAAATGTATAAGGTTTTAAATTGTCTACCAAACACAATACTTTCAAAATTTTATAATATTTTCAAAAATGTTTTATTTAAAACACTATAGTGGATTTCCTTGATAAATTTTAGAGGGTTTTTTTTTTTTTAAAAAAAAAAAAAGATGGAATCTCACTCTATTGTCCAGGCTGGGGTGCAGAAACATGATCTTGGCTCACTGCAACCTGCACCTCCTGGGTTAAAGTGATTCTCCTGCCTCAGCCTCCCAAGTAGCTGGGACTACAGGCATGCACCACCATGCCTGGCTAATGTTTGTGTTTTTAGTAGAGATGGAGTTTCACCATGTTGGCCAGGCTGATCTTGAACTCCTGACCTCAGGTGATCCACCTGCCGGTCTCCCAAAGTGCTGGGATTACAGGCGTGAGCCACTATGCCTGGCCAATATTAGCTTATTATACTTTAACGTTATTTAACCATTAGTTTACCAAAATATATTATTATTAAAAATAAAAGCATCCAAAGCATCCATATACTGCCAAAAATGAAAATTTAATATTAAATAAACAAGTCTAAAGGAAAAATTCATAATAAAACCTAAAATCTGGGTCAAGCTAGGAGTAGAACTAATTTAGACAGCAGTAATGAAACCAAAAGCCTTAATGAAAGAGGTTACCCATTCTAGAAAGGCTAGAACTAGACTTAGTGAGGTCTTCAGCTATCATGCAGGAGTATGACAAAAATTAATGACATTGTCATTTTAAGATACTGACATAGTTGTGTCTTAAACACAGTAGGAGTGAAGATACATTTGATCTGCAGAACTTTGGTTACTACTACTACTGGTCTGAAATGAGTACCAAGTGGTTAAAGGCCCTAGAGAAAGGAAATTAATATTAGACTGGCTAATAAATAGAAGAGGAGAGAAAGATTAAAAACAGAGAAGACTCAAGGGCCAAGAAACATAAAGAAAGAACAAAAATACACTTAGAAAATATGAAATAAATTATATGATTAGGCTGTAACAAAAATAAAACAGATTTACAACTGTTTTCTGAATTGAATCCTAAAAATCGCTGTCATCCACTATTATGTTCCCCACAGCCCATTCCAGCCTTCATTATACTTAAGAATCCTAAAATTTAACATCAAGAATTGACATCTTTTTGTCTAAAACCAAAAGACATGCATAAGCCAAATACTCATATGAAACTTCTGATATTAATCAGTCTAATAGATAACTTCTTAAATCAATGGGAGACTTCCTATAAAACATTACTTCTGGGTTATTTTCAGTTCCTTTTTTTCTTTTAATAGTCAGAAAAAATAAAGCAAAGATCACATATCAACTTAGTATTAAAAGCTTTCAAATCAACTACTGAAAATAAAATAATGTTAACGGCAAACATTTTTGAATTAGTTTATTCCCTCAAATAGTGGATAATTATCACATACCAGTTTCACAGCTTCCTGTGCAGCTTCCTTTCCACAGAAGGTGATAAATGCATACCCTCTATTCTGACCAGACAGTGGATCCATCATAAGACGCAGATCCCAAATGGGTCCAGCTTTCTCAAAAAGGGGCACCAACTCATCCTCATATAAATCTCTTGGTATTTTACCTACAAACACCTAAAATAAAACCCCCTTATTAGAATCCAACAAAAGCATTTGATTTTAGAGCCATAAAGTCTGTTGTCTTTTTTTTTTTTTTTTTAGAAGATGAGGGCAGAAGATGGTTGAAAGAATGGAACAATTTGAAACTAACAGTTGACTTGCAGAGCTAATCCTAATTTTTATTATAATGACCTTAGGGTTATCAAAGAACAACAGTCTCTTGAAAAATGGAAACTAAGAGTGTAAAATTTACTAAATTTTGAATTTTTATAGTTTGACCTTTTCTCATAAAAACAGAATAAAGGAGGCCACACACAGCAGTTCACATCTGTAATCCCAGCACTTTGAGAGGCCGAGGAGGGTGGATCACCTGAGTCCAGGAGTTCAAAACCAGCCTGAGCAACATGGCAAAACTCCATTTCTGTAATTTAAATTTAAAAATGTAATTTATAAATTAAAAATCAATAAAAATAAAACAACTGAATAAAAGATTGACATAGCTCTCCACAAGTTATCTCAACTCTAAAATCTTTACTACTTAAAAAGCAACCTCACCAGGCGTGATGGCCCATGCCTATTATCCCAACACTTTGGGAGCAAGGCAGGCAAATCATCTAAAGTCAAGACCAGCATAATCAACATGGAGAAACCACGTCTTTATTAAAAATACAAAATTAGCCAGGCATTGTGGCGCATGCCTGTAATCCCAGCTACTCAGGAGGCTGAGGCAGAAGTTGCAATGAGCTGAGATTGCACTCCAGCCTGGGCACCAAGAGCAAAACTGTCTCAAAGAACAAAAGGTGACATCAATATTTTTCAGGAACTCCAGCGCTTCAATCTATTCCTTTCTCTATCCAGATATTAAATATTAAATTTTAAGGTATGAAAAAAACCTCTTCACCATTTGAAGAATTTGTGATCTATCTTTAATTACAAAATTATACAGGATTAAATTGTAATATACAATGATAAATTAAAAATTATAGTCAAAACCCCTCATTTGATACCAGATTACCATTTTCTTCAAGCTTTTGCAATGTAAGCAACATTAAGACTCACTTTCACTGCTATCTGGTAAAACTTGAGGTGTTCTTTTTGAGCCTTAACATGATTCTCACACAACAGTTACTGCAATTCTTCTAACTCCTAAAGGTCCCCAATCCTGATTCACTAAACCTCATTCTAAGGATACCACATGAGAAAGTCACTGATTTCTTCATATTCTTACCTCTCACAATGTCTACTTTAACTTCTACTGCATGCGCCTCAGAGAGAGAGAGATCTACCTCTTTTCTAAGGTTAACTCCTTAATCTCAATAAATAAGCCCACTTCTTCTAACCAGATTCTGGAAATAACTGCAAACCGTTATTCCTTCAACACTCCTATTTTGCTCAGTACCATCCTTCCCTTCCTACTGGTTCCTTCCTCTATCTCCAAACAATCCAAAAACAAAATACAACAAAACACTCCTCACTTTAGCCTATATTATATTTATTGCCTTTCTCTGTTAAATGTTTAGTATATTTTTGAGACAGGGTCTCACCCTGTCACCCAGGCTGCAGCACAGTGGCATGATCATGGCTCACTACAGCCTCAAGCTCCCAGACTCAAGCAATCCTCCCACCTCAGCCTCTTGAGTAGGTGGGACCACATGCTCTTGCCATTATGCCCAACTAATATTTGGAGGTGGGAGTGGGGGGTTAGAGATGGGAGTTGCACTATGATGCCCAGGCTGCTCTCGAACTCCTGGGCTGAAGCAATCCTCCTGTCTTGGCCCTCCAGGAGGATTACAGGAGGTGTAAGCCACTGCACCCAGCCTGTTACATGTTTTGAACACAACGTCCATAACGGTCTTTTCACTCACACAGTTATTTTCAACGTATCTATATGCTTAATACTGTGAAGCCAAAGAAAAGTATAATTATGGCATCATCGCAATTAGGGATACAAAACACTGTTGTATGTGATTTAAGTGATGGCCCTGAAGAAGCATCTTTCTAACAAAACCATACTCGGAAAAGCATACAGCATCTATGTTCTCTTTAATCCTCTAAAACTGGTTTCTTTCTCTAACTCAGACTGTGAGTTAGATGTCACTAACAACCTGCTAATAACCAAATTCAAATGTCTTCGTCCGGGCCAAGCGCAGTGTCTCAAGCCTGTAATCCCAACACTTTGGGAGGCTGAGGTGGGCAGATTACCTAAGGTCAGGAGTTCAAGACCAGCCTGGCCAACATGATGAAACCCTATCTCTACTTAAAATACAAAAAATTGGCTGGGCATGATGGCAGGTGCCTGTAATACGAGCTACTCAGGAGGCTGAGGCAGGAGAATTACTTGAACCTGGGAGAAGGAGGTTGCAGAGAGTTGAGATCATGCCATTGCACTCCAGCCTGGATGACAAAAGCAAAACTCTATCTCAAACAAAAATAGTCTTTTCCCCCTCAGTTCTTATCATCCTTTTTGTACAAGTATTAACACTGGTGATGCAAGCACTACCGTAAAAGATTTTTCTTCCCTTAAGTTTTCAGAATTCTTTACCAACCTCGTCTTTGTACCTTTAAATCTATGATGAAGACATGTTGTAACAAATGATTTTTTCTAAAAGTCAAAATGATTAAAACCCACCTTTGTCAGTTGGCTCCTGATTGCCTCCATCTACCTTTAGAAGAATATAGTTTGTTTCTCTCCCCTCCTAGCCCCACCTCCAGGTGACTGAGGAACTACTTCCCTAAATAGACACTTCAGATGTTTTCAATCCCTCCCATTACCACCATATCCAATTAATCTTTAAAGTATCTGCTTGAAGTTGCTCCATGGAAATGCCTAACCTATACAAACATATGGCTCCCACCCTACTCACAGAACTTGTATAACACAAATCTTTCATGAGACAAGTAATCAAATATACCTTGGACTTATGCGCCATATATTTTTCTTTTCTTTTTTTTTTTTTTTTGAGACGGAGTCTTGCCCTGTTGCCCAGACTAGAGTGCAATGGCACGATCTCAGCTCACTGCAACTTCCACCTCCCAGGTTCAAACGATTCTCCTGCTTCAGCCTCCCAAGTACGTGGGACTACAGGTGCCCTCTACCACACCCAGCTAATTTTTGTATTTTTAGTAGAGACAGGGTTTCACTATGTTGGCCAGGATGGTCTCGATCGCCTGGCCTTGTGATCCACCCACCTCAGCCTCCCAAAGTGCTGAGATTACAGGTGCGTGACCTACCACGCCCAGCTGCCATATAGTTTTCTAGATTCTAGAAATACAGTGACTACCACAGACAAGGTCTAGGCATTCATGAAGTTTATATTCTACTCAGAGAAACAGACAAAAATCAAAAAGTAAACTGTATGGGTTGTGCATGGTGGTTCACATGTGTAATCCTAGCACTTTGGGAGGCTGAGGTGGGGAGATCACTTGAAGTTAGGAGTTTGAGACCAGCCTGCCCAGTATGGTGAAACCCTGTAACTAAAAATCCAAAAAATTAGCCAGGCATGGTGGCACAAGACTGTAATTCCAGCTTCTTGGGAGGCTGAGGCAGGAAAATCACTTGAACCAGGGAGGCAGAGGTTGCAGCGAGTGGAGATCGTGCTGCTGCATTCCAACCTAGGCAACAGAATAAAACTCTGTCTCAAAATAAATAAATACATACAAACATACATAAAAAGTGATTATATGATTTTAAGAGGTACTACTTTTTTTTTTTCAGAGACAGGGTTTCACTATCTTGGCCAGGCTGGTCTTGAACTCCTGACCTCGTGATCCACCCGCCTCAGCCTCCCAAAGTGCTGGGATTACAGGCATGAGTCACCGTACCCGGCCAAGGTACTAAATGTTAAGAAGGAAAAAAGAAGAAGAGGGGATAAATGATGGAGCAGTGTTTTCAGTAGAAGGGCTTCCCTACAGGGGTTAATTTGAGCTGAGATCTAAGAGAAAATTAACTAAAAATCTGAGGAATGTGAGGAGGCAGAGGAGGCAGTATCTCATGCCTATAATCCTAGCACTTTGGGAGGCCAAAGCAGGAATATCACTTAAGGGCAGCTAGGAGTCCTAGACCAGCCTGAGAAACATAGCAAGATTCTGTCTCAAAAAAAGTAAAAAAGAAGAAAAGAAAAAAATCTGAAGGAAGAGCATTCCAAGCTGAGGGAACAAATACAAAAGGCTGTGAGATGTGAGCATACTCCACATATCTGATGAATAGCACACAGGCAAATGGCTGGAATGGAAGTGACAGTGGTGTGAAAAGAGAGAACAGGACCAGAGTAAGTTAAACCATGGTTAGGCATTTCTGCTCCCAGATGTGTTGGGAAGCCATCAGAGTTTAGAGCAGAAAAATGATTGGGCAGACTTATGTTCTAAAAGGTACATTTCAACGACTAGGTAGAAAATGGATGGTATGAAGAAATAGGGTAATTGGGTAAACAGGGCAATCTGGAAAAGAGAGGCAAGTGGCTTGGAAGAGTAGGGTGATAGCTATGAAGGTGATAAGCATGTGAGCAACAGTGAGTTTTCGGCAATAATGGATTCAAATCTACATTTTAGTTACCTTGGGCAAGTTTTGTTTCTTTTTTTTTTTTTTTTTTTGGAGACAGAGTCTCGCCCTGTTGCCCGGGCTGGGGTGCAGTGATGCGATCTTGGCTCACTGCAACCTCCGCCTCCCAGGTTCAAGCGATTCTCCTGTGTCAGCTTCCTGAGTAGCTGGGATCACAGGCGTATGCCACCACATCCAGCTAATTTTTGTATTTTTAGTAGAGATGGAGTTTTACCACGTTGGCCAGGCTGGTCTCTAACTCGTGACTTCGAGTAATCTGCCCACCTCGGCCTCCCAAAGTGTTGGGATTACAGGTGTGAGCCACTGCATCTGGCTGAGTTTCTTAAGCAATGAGTCTCAACTTCCTCATGTGGGCTGGGCATGGTGACTCACACTTGTAATCCCAACACTCTGGGAGGCTGAGGCAGGTGGATCATGAGGTCAGGAGCCTGCCACCCAGGCTGAAGTACAGTGGCACAATTACAGTTCACTGTAGTCTCGACCTCCAGACTCAAGTGATCCTTCCACCTCAGCCTCCCAAGTAGCTGGGACCAGAAATGTGTTCATATTGCCATGCCTGGCTAACTTCTTTATTTTTTATAGAGACGGGGTCTCCCTATGCCAGCCAGGCTGGTCTCAAACAGCTGGGTTCAAATGATTCTCCTGCCTCAGTCTCCTGAAATGCTGGGATTACAAGCATGAGCCACCACATCAAGCCAACAGAGTCTTTTAGGTATCTATTAGGATTCTTAATATTATCCAGCTCCCACTTACATTTGCTATCTTGCAAATATACCAGTTTCTCATACATAATACCATTCGAGTGCTATAAAGTCATATACTTTAGGTCTCTGTTGAATACACTGGGGTTCTATACCACCACCATGAATAAACCAAAGAATGAGATCTCAATCTACCATTTCTTTCCATTATGCTGCAAAACATCAGTGCTATGCTCTGCAAACAGATAAGAATTTATTATACAGTCATGACCTCCATGAATACTGCTTACATTAATGGAAACAATTCAAAACACAACTAGGCCAGGCATGGTGGCTCATGCCTGTAATCCCAGCATGCAGGCAGATCACGAGGTCAAGAGTTTGAAACTAGCCTAGTCAACATGGTGAAACCCTGTCTCTACTAAAAACACAAAAATTAGCCAGGCACGGTGGCATGTGCTTGTAGTTCCAGCTACTCAGGACACTGAGCCAGGAGGATTACTTAAATCTGGGAGGCAGCGTTTGCAGTGAGCCGAAATTGTGCCACTGCACTCCAGCCTGGGTAACAGAGTGAAACTCCATCTCAAAAAACAAACAAAGAACAACAACAACAAAAAACAGAACTTGCTTCCCAAAGCAGCTTAACAATACTAGCTGAAGAATACAAAACTACTACAACTGAGTACGTCTGAGAGCTTAGACACACTAAAAAATAATTTCAAAATTAATATCTATTATCCTTGTATATTTCTCATCTCAGGACAATACTTAGCAGAATGTCTGTTAATGAGTGCTCATCAAATGAGTTAATTTATTTACAGTAGATTTTATCCAAAAATGAGGTATCATAGTCCTCTCATAATTTTAATACTGCAGTCTCAGACACTGACCCTAACTTCAATCTCCTCAATCAAGACCTAAAAATATATAATGACTGAAAGAAAACATAAAAGAACAAAAGCCAAAACTTCACAACATCAAAAATGACAACAATTAAGACCAATTTATTAAATCTACTAGCAATACAACACATTAAAAACCTATTTTTCCTGATTTTTCAAAACTTTAGTTGGCAACAAATACAGGCACAATCTCATGAAATCTAACTTTATGAGAGAAACCTGAAACTTTACACTAGGATTTTGCTGAAAGTAACTGCTTAACGGGAGTGGTTTTAGGCTAGTGATCTCATATAGGGATTTTGCTAGAATCGTATTTGTTGTACATAACAACATTTAACCTACAGAAGAATGCATCTTTCGCCTAAAGAGACAATGCAATCTAACAGAATGCATACGTGTTTTACAATTAATATACCAACTATTTGTTTCAAACTGGTTATTTCCAAGTTTATATTAGGCTAGGCATGGTGACTCACACCTGTAATCCCAGCACTTTGGGAGGCCAAGGTGGGAAGATCACTTGAGCCCATGAGTGGAGACCAGCCTGGGCAACACAGGGAGACTCCATCTCTACAAAAAAATTAAAAAAAATAGCTGGGTTTCACTTTGGGAGGCAAGCGGGATCACCTGAAGTCGGGAGTTCAAGACCAGCCTGACCAATGTGGTGAAACCCCATCTCTGCTAAATATACAAAATTAGCCGGGCATGGTGGCATATGCCTGTAAACCCAGTTACTTGGGAGGCTAAAGCAGGAGAATCACCTGAACCTGGGAGGTGGAAGTTTCGGTGAGCCAAGATCATGCCACTGCACTCCTGCCTGGGCAACAAGCACAAAACTCTGTCTCAAGAAAGAAAAAAAAAGGGTGGGAGGACTGCTTGAGCCAGGAGGAGTTTGAGGCTGCAGTATGCTATGATCATACCACTGCACTCCAGCTGGGTAACAGAGACCATTTCTATAAAAAAGTTCCCTGGTATAGCAAGTTACTTTTTTTCAGCACATAGAAAAAAAATAGCCTAAGTCAATTCTCCATTTGAAAGACTAGCAGGAGTTCATGACCAGCCTGGACAACTTGGTGCAACCCCATCTCTACTAAAAGTACAACAATTAGCTGAGTGTGGTTGTGGACACCGGTAGTCCCAGCTACTCAGGAGGCTGAGGCAGGAGAATCACTTGAACCCAGAAGGCGGAGGCTGCAGTAAGCTGAGATCGCACCATTGCACTCCAGCCTGGGCGACAAGAGCGAAACTCCGACTCAATCAATCAATTAATAAAGGATTAGAACGGGCTACCAAGAATGCAAACAGAAAACCCTTTATGAAGACACAGATGGAGGAAGAATTGTTTCTTTGTTCAAGTATGGACAAATGTACTCAACCTTTTATCTGACTCCACATCCTTCCCTTGTGCAAGCGATGCCCATCAATAATATCTCTCTGTAAATACTAACTCCCTTCTGAGTGACAGGTGAGTCAAGGGAGAAGACAAGCACAATTCTAAATTACTGACATTAAAAAAAAAAACTTGGCTGGACACAGTGGCTCACCCCTTATCCTAACACTTTGGGAGGCCAAGGCAGGTGATCACCTGAGGTTATGAGTTCAAGACCAGTCTGACCAACATGGTGCAACCCCATCTCTAGTAAATACTAGAATTTAGTAGAAAAAATTAGCCGGGTATGGTAGTGCATGCCCATAATCCCAGCTACCTGGGAGCTGAGGCAGGAGAACTGCTTGAGCCCAGGAGGTGGAGGATGCAGTGAGCTGAGACTGTACCACTGCACTCCAACCTGGGCAATAAGAGCAAAAACTCTGTCTCAAAAGGAAAAAAAAAACAAAACTTGGCTGGGCACCGTGGTTCATGCCTATAATTTTGGCACTTTGAGAAGCCAAGGCGGGAGGTCTGCTTGTGTCCAGCAGTTCGAGACCAGCCTGGGCAACATTGTTAAGACCTGGTCTCTACAAAAACAAAAACAATCCCCAAAAAGCAAAAACCAAAATGAAGCAGCAGGGCGTGGTAGTTCATGCCTGTAATCCCAGCACTTTGGGAGGCCAAGGCGGGTGGATTACTTGAGGTCAGGAGTTCAAGACCAGCCTGACCAACATGGTGAAACCCCATCCCTACTAAAAATACAAAATTAGCCAGGTGTAGTGGCACACACCTGTAATCCCAGCTACTGGGGAGGCTGAGGCAAGAGAATCACTTGAACCCCGGAAGTGGAGGCTGCAATGAGCTGAGATCGCGCCACTGCCCTCCAGCCTGGGCAACAAGAGTGAAACTCCATCTCAGGGGCAGGAAAAAAAAACAGAATAAAGCAACTCAATCTTCCAAATAATTTTACTCCAAATATATAAAATGATGTGTTGCTAGTAGCATGGTTTTAGCAACCCGTTCCAAGAACTCTATATTATATTCTGATATAAAGTGTGTGGATATCTACTAGTCACAACATTATCCATGCTCATAATGGCAGCAAAACTCCCATCCATACACATGGATATCTAAAAAATAATAGCAGGTACAGTTTGAAAGGGATCAAGTATTTTCCCCCTCTGTACAGTATCTACATAGTAGACAAAACACTTTTCAACCTGGAAAGATCTTGGCAAACAGCTAAAGAACACTTACCTCTGTTCCAATTCCCGGTTGCATGCCAGAGTACACACTGTCTGGTGGAGGACCACCATACTTCCTCTGTCCCGTGGTTACATCCAGAGTATAACCAGTTCTCTCAAGCAAGGCCTAGAGATAATTATACATCTCTTTATACTTGAATACTAAATTTCAAACACAAGCATCAATGTATTAATCTTTTCCAAAGTACTCCAACTTCCTAGGAAATATATTTTTATGATTAGGTTAAAAAAAAAAAAAGTCAAAATTCACACTAGTTCCCCATACATGTTTCTACCAGCGAGTCTTTTCAAATAAAATGTTCTCTATCCTCAAAAAATTAGCATAAGTCTTACCTCCTTCATGCAGCTTCTCTTGTTTACTATTACTCACATCCCTCTCTTCCTAATTTCTTTTTTTTTTTTTTCCCTAAGATGGAATCCTGCTCTGTTACCCAGGCTAGAGTATGCAATGGCATCATTTCAGCTCACTGCAGCCTATGCCTCCCGGTTCAAGCGATTCTCCTGCCTCAGCCTCCCAAGTAGCTGGGATTATAGGCATGTCCACCACGCCCGGCTAATTTTTCTTCTTTTTAGTAGAGACAGGGTTTCACCATGTTGGCTAGGCTGGTCAGGAATTCCTGGCCTCAAGTAATCTGCCTGTCTTGGCCTCCGAAAGTGCTGGGATTACAGGTGTGAGCCACCGCGACCAGCCCCCACTGTCTTTCTAGTGTACTCAAGGTCCCATAATTGAAGCTTTGTTTGATCCTTTTGTTTTATACTCCTGCCATATCATAAGCACCACAAGAATCAGACAATCAGACAAGAATCACACAGTACAGACTAAAAACATTTGGCAATTACCAAATTAGTCAAGTTTCAAAAAATATGTAAAATCTTGTGTTTCCTGATTACCAACCTTCCTTACATTCTATTAGGCATTAAGAGGAATCAAAGAAAAGAAGATAAAGTCTTTGCTCTCAAGGAGCTTATGTTATAATTGAGGCAACATTTACATAAAGAGCCTACAGAACAAAACACACAATGGCAAACAAAGAAATGCAATCTATGTAGAAAAGAGAGAATTTTACAATTCAGGTTTTTTAAATTAGACAATGTCAGAACTACAAGAGACTTTAGATATCATCAAGTTCAATGAACTAGGGTTCCACAGGGATGCATGTCTTCGGCCTTCCATTCCTCCACTTTCAACTGAAACAGAGCTCTCTACTTTTAAACATAGAAATAAATGCAATAGAAAACAGGGCTCCCCCAACCCCTAGGCCATGGATAAGTAGTGGCCTGGGCTGCATAGCAGCTGTATCTATATTTACAGCTGCTCCTCCTCCTCTCTATTTTTGGCATTACTGCCTGAGCTGTGAGCTCCACCTCCTGTCAGATCAGCGGCCGAATTAGATTCTCATAGGAGCGTGAACCCTATCGTGAACTGCACATACGAAGGATCTAGGTTGCAGGCTCCTTATGAGAATATAATGCCTTAAGATCTGTCACTATTTCCCAGTACACCCAGATGGGACAATTTAGTTGCTGGAAAACAAGCTCAGGGCTCCCACTGATTCTACATTATGGTGAGTTGTATAATTATTTCATTACATATTACAATGTAATAATAATAGAAATAACTTCAACATAAAATATCTATTTCAAATTAAAAAGTCTATCACAGACCAGGCATAGTGGCTCACACCTGTAATCCCAGCACTTTGGGAGACTGAGGTCGGCAGATTCCCTGAGGTCAAAAGATCGAGACCAGCCTGGCCAACACGGTGAAACCCCGTCTCTACCAAAAGATAAAAAGAAAATTAGCTGGGTATGGTGGTGCATGCCTGTAGTCCCAGCTATTCAGGAGAGGGAGACAGAAGAATCGCTTGAACCCAGGAGACAGAGGTTACAGTGAGCTGAGATCGCACTACTGCACTCCAGCCTGGGCAACAGAGCAAGACTCTGTCTCAAAAACAAAACAAAACAAAAGTACATCACTACAGTAAGACAGAGTATCCATTATAAGGAATCAGGTTTACTGGTCTTTCACTAAAAGCGTATATTTACCTTTCAAAGCTGTTTATCTAAGTAACAAAATGGTAATAATAATGGCTCATGGTTAAATAGTTCTTACTATATTCCAGGCATTATTCTAAGTGCTTTATATATGTTAAGTCATTTAATCCTTAAATAACTCTGTGAGGTAGTTACTATTACTCTTCCCATTTTACAAATAAACTGAAGTAACTGAAAATTCAAAAGGAGGAAAGCAGTTATAACAACATCTTTTTATCAAGAGAAAAGAAACAAAGTGCCTGGAAAATAACTGAACCAAGAGACATTATTGGATCAATCCAAGAAACTACCAGCAGAATCATCAATAAACGTACGTTGTTCAGGCCAGGCATGGTGGCTCATGCCTGTAATCCCAGCACTTTGGGAGGCTTAGGCAGATGGATCCCCTGAGGTCAGGAGTTCAAGACCAGCCTGGTCAACATGGTGAAACCCCATCTCTACTAAAAATACAAACATCAGCCAAGCACACTCACATGCACCTGTAATCCCAGCTACTTAGGAGGCTGAGGCAAGAGAATTGCTTGAACCCGGGAGGCAGAGGTTGCAGTGAGCTGAAATCACGTCACTGTACTCCAGCCTGGACAACAGAGCAAGAGTCTGTCTCTACATCATTCATGGCCATGAATGAGGGAGAATATGAATTAGGGCTTTTCGTTAAACATACAATTGAGTGTTGACCCCCAAAATTATCCTTCTTATGTAATTTCTCTAAATTATTTCATTTCTAAACACTAATTTTTAAAAGTGAAACTCTCTGGGAAACATGAAAAGAAGCATTTGACCTCATCATTAAATGTAATTTCATTGCAACTACCCAAGTCAAGTTTTACCTTGATCTTCGCTTCATCAGGTCCCTTTGTGGACTCTTGCACCTTGCTTCCCTGTTTCTCTCTCTGCCTGTAGGTCTTCATAACTCCACATAAAAATGCACTTTTGTTCTAGAACAGACAAGTAATTCAATAAAAAGAATCACCAAAAATCTTTGAAGGGTCAGTTATATAATTAAATTTAAATCTCAAAAGACCAGGATTTTAACAAAGTATTTACTGATTCATTAAACAAACATCTGCCCAGTGGTTACTACATTCCAGAGGCTGAAGCAGATAGCAGTAAGGCAGTACAGACCTCAGGGAGCTTATCTTCTCCCTGGGAAAACACAGTCTTCCATCTGTTGATAAGTGATTGCATCTAGACTATCTTTGCCAGATGTCTGAAACTATTCCTCCCACCTACATTTTCCTCCAAGATAATAAAACAGGATCAGATAACCCCCAAAAGTTAAAAAGCTGAGTAACATGTAAAAACCTATAGTAACAACCATCAAAACTTGACTTTAAGTTTTTAAAACAACTTACTACACAAAGGGGTGGGAGGAAACTTTCACTTTATACTTGTGCTTCTGAAATTCTGCCACAAGCAGATCTTTTTTTCCTTTAATTTTTAAAAGAAGAAGAGGTAGTCACAAAAAATAACCACTTCCCCACAGGAAAAAAACTAGTAAAATAATTTCAGCTCATTAATTATTCAAAGACATTTCTGAGTAATGACCTTACCTGAACATGTGATAAGTCACTTTCCTTGAACTGCTGTAGTACAGACAGAGCTCCTTCTTCATTAAATTCCCTGAGAGCATCAATTGCTCGTTCATCAAGATCGACATAAGCTACCAATCCTAAAAATTAAATTGAAAAGGGGTAACGTTATTGCAACAAAGGGGCAGTCTAAATTATTGTTTAATCAAGAAGTGTTATATTCAATATGATCACTAAAAAACTATACTTTCATTTAACTATATGCATATATGAAGCTATCCAAATACTACATAGAACGGTCCAGTACAAATATGCAAATAAAGATAAAATGTCAACAACCAAAAACATGAATTTCAATCTGCATATCCACAAAAGCTCTTCCGTCAAATCCTAACATCCATTTCCCACTCCCCCAAAGGTATAAGTCTTGGAAGTTGAATCTGACGTACATATTGTATTACAGATTATGCATTAACAAATTTTGGTTTATATTAGAGTAATAAGAATACACTGTACTTTTCAAGGATAAACCTTCAAATTACAAATGGTTACAGTTGATGCTAACCACATAAGAGGTGGGGGAAAATCTGAAAACAAATTTTACTAATTCTTTCCACTCTCCAGAAAGTATCAAAAGGCTTTCCCTTCTTAACACCAAAGATAAACTGAAATGCATTTGTTTATCTGAGCATCCACTTTGCTGCAGTCAGAATGTGGAAAGGCACAATTTTAAACTTCTACAAATGCAAGTGCAGCTTGATTTGTCAATTCTGAAAGTCACATTTGAAGGCATTCTTCGTTCTTCTGAAGTGACAAGCTGAGATTTAAAAGATGCTGTGGCATTCACAACACTGACTGTCAAGAATGACAATCTTTTTCAAATGGCAATAAAGACTTTATGGACTCACAAGTAAACTCAACAGAAAACATATACACTGCATTTCACATATGTAGTATATCCAACTGCACATAGAACATCTACTAATTTTAAAATATAATTTCTTAAGTCTATTAAGTTTATGTCATATTTATATATATGGGATATATTTCAGAATTGATCCAATGTAAAATGGAAATATTTTGTAGATTAAAACCCCCAAGTTCATATGAACATGAAAAGTGACTCCATTTTGGTAAAGCCAAAAAGAACTTTATTCTATACAGTAAATTTTAAATAAATGTAATGCCACCTCCAAAGTTACTTTGAAAAAAAGTTGCCATGATTTGTTTCAAAAGCTCAAAATGAGCATGTGTAAATAACTGGAGTTGCCTTCCTTGAATATTCCATACCACCACCCAAAGCCACAACTCAGGACACCCACCAATCCACTTTGTCAAACCAAGCCTAAGCCAAACCGTCAGCCTCTTATCGATAACAAAACACTCTACAAGAGAGCATCTCTAAGCAGATCACTGCCAATTCTCTATGGCAGAATATCACAGAAAGTTCCTGAGGACTGATTTTCAAATGAGACCATCACCCAGGAGTCATTTTTATAAGTCATTTTAATGTCTAAAATTATGCTAAGCTTTCCAGATTTAAAAATTTTTTAAGGACAAAAAAATAAACAACTATTTATTACTACTGTACTTAAGACACATTTGTGAGTGAGACAATTCAATTCTCTCTCAGAATCTGAATAGGCACACAAAACACAGAGGAAGAAAGTTTCCATCTATGGCCCCAAAGGAGGAGGACACATTTATTTATGAACAACACTCCCTAAGGGTAAATATTTCTCTCCCTCTTTAAAACTTCAAACCACTTACAACCAACTATATTAAGATGTTCAAATTTGCTTAAGCACTTAACCATGGCACTTCTAGATTTAAAAAAAAAGCAGCTCTTACAAACCAAACACTTCCAAATTACGGAGAGATGTGGATTTCTATTAGAAACTAGACAAGCCACAAACTCTCAAGGAGTCTAACATTTATTATGGTTTCAGACGATACAGTCTATCCTCTTATTATGCCACCTAATCAGACCTACTCTGATTTAACAATCACTTTAAGAAGCTAAAAGTAGAAAAGTAAAAGCAAAATGATGACTGATTTCGATTAAGAAAAAAATGTAAAATTCGGTATGCAGAAACATACATTTTAATGAGTGGTAAATCTAAGACAAATTGATGTGCTGTTCTGAAACAACTAAGACTGTATATTCAACACTAAGAAGGCTTCAAAATAATGAAATAAGAGTATCAAAGTCAAACCCAATATGCCTTCAATGAAGGGAAAGTAACAAACATTAAGCTCTACAGATCAGAAACAGTATTATTTAACCTTAAAAATCTATAAAATTCAAAGTGGTTTGCCCTCACTTTCATAACCAGTCAGAAACAAGAAATGCATATTATACCTGTCTGAAATATTTCATCAAGTCTTTCTGCCACCTTCTGTGGGAGGCCTGCCTCTATCAGTGTCTTGTAGTGTTCTGTGTGAGTTACACTGGAAGTATCCATTGGTTCTTCCTCTTCTTTTAACTGTACCGCATTACCATTCACCTGATTAGCCATTTTATTATGCTGCTGGAAAAAATTCAGGAGCTATATTACATTAAGCCAGAAATAACTAGTTTGTAGGACAATGCATGATTTATCTAAACTAATTTGTATACATGCTGCTAATAACCTCTACCAAAATAATAATTTATTCCTCCTGTGATGTAGCTGACCTAAATTGGCAATAATAATCCTGTAAAACCAAAGAAAATGTACATGGAAGCATTAGATCTTTAAGGAACTTCATGTACACCAGGTAAAATAAAGACTTTAATTTACTGAAGGTAGAATTGCTGATTAACAAAAGCAGCTGTTCTGTCCTGGTGAAAAGATCAACAAATCACTACAAATCCTAAAAGCCCCTCAGCTCTCAGTTCTTACACAGTTTTAAAAAGTTTTGGTTTAAAAACAGAATGAACACCCACAGACCACTTAATCAAGATTTAAGGACTTTCAAATTTTCCTGGCTCTGCTTCAAATACAGCATCGGTGTGAAATAAGTGCCCTGTTGTCTCTAGTTCAACATGCTGGTGGTTTGGGGTTCCTCCACCTCACTTAATACAAAACAAAACAAAACAAAAAAACTTGACATTAATTTTTGTTCTAAGATTAATTTGCTATTCCCATTCAAAGATTTAAAAGAAAAAATGACCAAGTTTAAAAGCTAAGCAATTGTTTTAAATCCACATAAAATACTAAGTGAGCTATAGTTTAGGTTGCTTCTCAAAAAAAAATGAGTACATGTTAAAATTTTCCTATCAGTAAAATAAAGACGTAAAAACATCTGAAGAACGGACAACTAAACTTCTACCAAGTATTTCAACAAACGTTACCTAAATTAGGCTAAACTTCAGATTTCTCAGATTAACCTACCAAAAATAATTTTGTGCATTCAGCCTGTAGGTAATGCTGAAATGGACTGATTCCCAGAAGAGAGAGAGAGTAAATATAAGCCATACAAAGTCAGTCTGTATTTTGCCTCAAAAGATAGAGAATTAAAGCGCATTTGTCTGTAGTGAAATTATAATGTGATGAAGATAATAGGCAGCAGAACAAGACATTGCAACATATACTAAATAAAAGACATAAAGGTGGATCTCAAGAAAAAGCCTACTTTTCTTGATGAAACTCAAGATACCTAGTCATCTATAAAGAAAATACAAGTCTCCTACAAAGCACTAAGACACATAAGATAACCACACTTCCAGACTGCTTATCAAACACTGTGCAATGTACCAGGTGCAGTTTTCTGGCTTAAAACAACTTCTTTTCACTTCAAAGTCCACTGATACTTAGTTGAAGTTAATGAAAGAGGGAGGAAGACCAAGAGGGAGGAGAAGGAGGTAATAGAGAATAGGAAGAAGAAAGGAAAATGCAAAGGGTTACTCTGAAAATGAGATAAACATGACTCCTCATGATTACAAAACACTATTAAGACTCGACAGCCCTTAATAGACGCAGACTGTGGTTAAATTCTGGGTTGATGTTTCTCAAGACAAGCTTCAAATTCTGATGAACTAGCAAAAACGGAAACGTTCGAAACTGTCACACTTTTGATCAAGAAACTGTATCGTGTGAGATGAATACGTTTACTGATTAACACAATCTATTTCTATAAAGATGCATCCTAAAACCCAAAACCTCTGTGCGAACATACAGTTCTTTTTTCCCATGCTCCCCCATTCCCAAATATTACCTTAAGATCATCAGAACTCAAAAGTTCTCAGTAGCACAAGACCCTTACAGCATTGCACCTAGGAATACTATTAGTTACTGAAAAGAGGCAAATTTTTAACAGAAAAGTTCAATGAACATCTGTTAAGGTGGGGGTTTTAAGTATGTGTAAAGCAAAAAGACAAGCTGTGTATTAAGCACAAGACAGAAATATTTATGCCTACCATTTCATTGCAAATGCTCTACAAGTTGATACTGAAATTGCTTAAAATTTTCAAAAAGTTTGTAACTTTAACAAAAAAAACGTAAAATAATTAGATTCCAGAAAATAAAACCTTCGGATCAAGGAAAGCCCTCTCTCTTCAAGCCAAATACAAAGTGCTCATTTTAAAGACTTTTTATGTCATATGAGACCATTTGAAACTCATGTCAATTCAACACAATGCCACATAGCCAAACCATATTTCTGGATGCAGCAAATATACTGTGACTGGACTCATTCGATCTAATCATTTTTGCAAAAAAAAAAAAAAAAAAAAAAGGAGACGTTTAAAGATTTTAAAGGGCTGCTGGGAGATTCGGGATGCCAGCACTAACTCCTCCCTGACTTTTTCTCAACCTCTCTGTGAAAATTCATATTAAGAGACGGGCTTTAAAAGAACCAACGAAATGAAAACGGTTATCTCATGGTTTAGGAGTGTCGAGCTCTCATCCTACGACTGACTCACGAGAGATCAATTCAGCCACGTGAGGACTGCAAAAATCTCAAACAGGTAGCGTGAAAGGACCGAACCTTCCAAGAAGCCCTTGGCATTTAAAAAAATTTAGCAAAACGGTTACTACCGTGTAAGAAAAAGGATCGCCTTTCCAATTTGGTGCGCCTCTGACAGTCTCAGAATTACTCATTTCAGGCGCCGCTCGGAGCCTAAGTTCCACGGCCTCTAGTAGTCATTTTTTCCTTCAAATCTCAGCTCGCGGCATGCAGAATGTGGGAGGGAAAGGGAGGGAGGCTTCCCACACAAATCGGCCTTTCGATTTCTGCTCACACAAAACTTTTCTCCCGGCTCAGATAACCCTGGGATTTGCACCCCGCCTTCCGCCCCCCTCACCCTCTCACCCCCACTCGGCGCCAGGCCGGCAGCGGCGTGTGTGAAGCGTCTCCGCTGGGGAGAAGCTACAGGGCCGTGGGCGCTTCAGGCCCTTCGCGGGGTCGGGCCGCATGGAGCGGCGGGCGGAGGCGGGAAAAGCACGGCCGGCCCCGGCAGGCCGCGCGGAGAGCGCCCGGCGGGCCGCACCGCGGGCCGGGGGCTGTAGGGGTGTGGGGAGGAAGAGCGAGGACAAGAGGCGTCTTGGCCGGGCTAGGCCACAGCCGCGCTGCGGGACGAGACCGAAGCCGCCCCCAGCCGGTCCCCACCCCCACCCCGGGGCCTCGGAGCGCAAACGAAACGGGACCCGGCGCGGAGCCAGGGCCAGGCTGAGTCTGGTCGGATCGGGGCTCCCGGCCCCTCCCCCCACGGGCCGGCGCGAGACTCACCAGGGCAGAGCGGGGGCCGGCGGCCGGGCCCGTGAGAATCAGCGCGAGGCGCTTTGAAAACGACTAGAAATGGCGCGCGCGCCACCCCCTCCCCCCCCTCATGGACAGAGACGCGATCCCGGCAGCACGCGGGGTTTCCCGGAACTGCTTCCAGGGACTCCGAGCTGAGGGGCAATCGCTTGGCGAGGCGGCCTGACAGGCAGCTCAGAGAACCAATAGTAGCTAGGGAAAGCGGACCACGCCGGACGACTCGAGGGCCAATCGATGAAGCTGTCAGCTGAACCAATGAGGGTGCTCAGCGCCGCTGGCTACGGCGCCTCCGGGGCGGGGGCAGGCACACAAAGGGGTCTGTGGTGGAAACCCTTGGTGGCGGCGAGGCTTGGGGGCACCGGGTCCTGGGTGGCCAAGGCTCCTCCCTCTTCGTCTGCCGCCGTTGCGAGGCGGAAAATCTAGGCCTTGCGCCGCGTGGCCGCCTCCGAGCCCCGCCCCCTACGGTCAGCGCCGGCCCCGTTCGGCCATGGTGCTCGCGTCCCTCCGCTGGCCGCGCTGAGTCCCTGAGTCCTCCCTCGCACCTACACGGCCGCATTCGCCCGAGACACGCCCATAGCCACGCGTTCGGGCCTCTTTCGGTCATCTTTTCGCCTCTAGTGAGCACACGATTTTCTTTTTTTTTACTCCAAATAGATTATTTTTATTGCATTTTAGGTTTTGGGATACATGCGAAGAACATCCAAGATTGTTGCATAGCTATACACATGTGACAGTGTGATTTACTGCCTTCCTCCCCATCACCTATATGTGGCATTTCTCCCCATGCTATCTCTCCCCAGCTCCCTACCCCCCGCTGTCTCTCCCCTATTTCCCCCCAACAGACCCCAATGTGTGATGCTCCTCTCCTTGTGTCCATATGTTCTCATTGTTCAACACCCACCTATGTGGTGTTTGATTTTCTGTTGTCAGTTTGCTGAGAATGATGGTTTCCAGGTTCATCCATGTCCCTCCAAAGGACACGAACTCGTCGTTTTTTATGGCTGCATAGTATTCCATGGTATATATGTGCCACATTTTCTCTGTCCAGTCTATCATCGATGGACATTTGAGTTGGTTCCAGGTCATGAGCACACGATTTAAGGATGATTTGGTTCGTCGTTTTGCTGAGGATTTTGTCTAGAAAATCCTTGATTTTCTAGATCAGAGAAATGCCTCTTTCCCTCCCTGGCTCCCATCGACACATCGTTGGTGGCAATGCAGACTGTGAGGGAAATCGTAAAATGACTCAAGAGCAATGTGTAGCAGAAGTGATAAAGCGGGAGCCTTTTCCCCACAGGGTTTGGAGCTACTTGATATTCATAAAATAAGCAGATATATCCATCTCTGAAACCAAAAGAGCCATGCAGGGGAAAGGGGTCATTCCCAAAGGACACTATAATTCTTGTTGGTCCTAAACCTATTTCTCACCTGCCATTCTTACTGATTTGTTCCCTGTCCTCTCCTTAGTCGAAACATGTCTCCTCCCACTGGAATCTTCCAAACTCATTTCTGTAGTGCCAGCCCTTTTTTCTCAACCCCGAACTCCAGTGCCCACCCTCAGGGAGTGGAGAAAGTCAAGCAGTGGTCTGCAGGATTTCCATATGCACTCAAGGATGATTGAATTTCTCAGAACCTGTAAGCCTAGATCTAATTATTTAAAACAGGCCAGACGCCGTGCCTCACACCTGTAATCCCAGCCCTTTGGGAGGCAGAGGCGGGTGGATCAGTCAGGAGTTCCAGACCAACATGGTGAAACCCCGTCTCTACTAAAAATACAAAAATCAGTCAGGTTTGGTAGCATGTGTCTGTAATCCCAGATACTCCAGAGGCTGAGGCAGGAGGATAGCTTGAACCTGGGAGGCAGAGGTTGCAGCGAGCCAAGATCACGACACTGCACTCCGGCCTGGGCAACAAGAGGGAAACTGCATCTCAAAAAAAAAAATTGAAAACGACTACCACCCTCAGTCTCTGGGTGGATCCAAATTTTGTGTTATGGGGTATGAGGCTTACAGAAATGCTGGGAGTTATAAGCCAAGAGCGGTAGCTCACGCCTTTAATTCCAGCACTTAGGGAGGCAGAGACGGGTGGATCACTTGAGCCCAGGAGTTTGAGACCAGTCTGGCCAAGATGGTGAAACCCCGTCTACTAAAAATACAAAAATCAGCTGGGCGTGGTGGTACGTGCCTGTAATTCCAGCTACTCGGGAGGCTGAGAAGGAAGAATTGCTCGAATCTGCGAGGCGGAGGTGGCAGTGAGCCGAGATAGCACCACTGCACTCCATCCTGGGCAACAACAGCAAAACTGTCAAAAAAAAAAGAGAGAGAAAGATAAAGGAAAGGAAAGGAAAAGGAAGGAGGAGAGATGCTGGGAGTCTTTAAGAAAAAACATTAAATGACGAATATCAATTTAGGAAGGGCATTGTAAAAGTAAGGGAGGACCCTGAAGCTTAACTTTTTTTTTTTTTTTAATAGAGACACAGGCGGTGCAGAGGGGATCTCGCTATGTTGCCCAGGCCAGTCTTGAACTCCTGGCCTCAAGTGATCCTTCTGCTTTGGCCTCCCAAAGTGCTGAGATTACAAGCGCCCAGCCTGAAGCTTAAATTTTACTAGCTTCACATAAATCTGCCTCTAGCGCCATAATCCTTAACCTATTTTGTGTCATTTGGAAGTCTGGTAAAAGCTATGAATCTCTTCTCAGTTTTTAAATGCATAAAATAAAGTACATAGCAATACAGAATAAACCATTTATATTGAAATACAATTAGGAAATATATTTTAAAAGCACATTCGTGATATAGTAAGCTTTTTCTTTATGTTTTTTTAAGATGGGCTCAATTTATCACCCAGGCTGTAGTGCAGTGGTGCAATCTGGCCTCACTGCAACCTCTGCCTCCAGGGCTCAAGTGATCATCTGACTTCAGCCTCCCTAGTTAGTGGCTTGTAGGAACTATAAGTGCTGGCCACCACGATGGGCTAATTTTTGCTTTTTTTTTTTCAGAGATGGGGTTTCACCATGTTACCCAGGCAAGAAATTTTTCTTTGTTAACACAATAAATATTAAGATCTTAAAAAAGGCTCATGCCTGTAATCCAAGCACTTTGGAGGCCAAGGTGGGCAGATCACCTGAGGTCAGGAGTTCAAGACCAGCCTGACCAACATGGTGAAACCCCCATCTTTAAAAAAAAAAAAAAAAAAAGATCTTAGAGCAGGTCTAATAACTACAGAAATTGTAAAGGAATAAGATATTTCAAAAAAATCCATAACACTAATAAAGTGATATGAAAATGATTTCTATTGGTGACAGAGGGAAAGTTATTGCTACTGTGGTGTGTCTACATTCACAATGGGGAAAAATGCTAAATTTCAGTTAGATGTTAGAGAAAACAAAGATGTTATTTTTTTCCCCCATTCAAGTTAAAGTACCCCTTGCTTCCATTCAGGGACTCCTTTATGTCCATTGATGATATTTTTGTATTTGTTTTTGAGACAGAGTCTCACTCTGTCTCTCAGACTGGAGTGCAGTGGTGCAGTCTTGGCTCAAAACAACTTCCACCTCCCGGGTTCAAGCGATTCTCCTACCTCAGGTACTGTAATCTGAGTACCTGAGATTACAGGTGCCTGCCATGACATCCGGCTAATTTTTGTATTTTGAGTAGACACAGGGTTTCACCATGTTGTCCATGCTGGTCTTAAACTGCTGACCTCAAGTGATCCGCTTGCCTCAGCCTCCCAAAGTGTTGAGATTACAGGTGTGAGCCACTGCACCTGGCCTAGATACATAATTTAAAATGATTCTATCATTCAGTATTTTCTGGGAATAACATTTCAGATGTTCTGCTACTTAGTCATCAAAGGTATACTCCACATTTCAGACCATATATCTTGATTTTTTTACTTGGAAAGAAAATTGCTGTATAAATACAGATATTCATGAATTCGGTATTCCACAAATATGTATTGCATGCCTCTATATAAAAATCATGGAGTTAAGAGTAGGGTAGGCCAGGCAGTGACTCATGGCTCACACCCAGCCATTTTTTTTTTTTTTTGTATTTTTGGGAGGCCAAGGCGGGCGGACCATGAGGTCAAGAGATCAAGACTATCCTTGCCAACATGGTGAAACCCCAGCTCTAAAAAAAAAAAAAAAAAATTATCTGGGCATGGTGGCACACACCTGTATTCCCAGCTATTTGGGAGGCTGAGGCAGGAGAATCGCTTGAATCCCGGAGGCGGAGGTTGCAGTGAGCCAAGATTGTGCCACTGCATTCCAGCTTGGCGAGAGAGCAACACTCCATCAAAAAAAAAAAAAAAAAAAAAAAAAGGTTGCTAAGGGGAGCTCTAGTTATACCCCATAATTTGTGAAATTAGGTAACAGTGCAGCCAGACCTTTCCACATCTCTTTCCTGTTACAGACCAAATCTGTTGTCTGAGCTGTTATGTCAATGAATACACTGATGCTTCTTATAACAATTATAGGGCCAAATGTGGTGGCTCACGCCTGTAATACCAGCACTTTGGGAGGCCCAGGTGGGCAGATGTCCTGAGCTTAGGAGTTCAAGACCAGCCTGGGCAACATGGTGAAACCCCATTTCTACAAAAAATACAAAAATTATGGCTCACACCTGTAATACCAGCACTTTGGGAGACCTTGGCAGTTAGATCACCTGAGGTCAAAAGTTTGAGACCAGCTTAGCCAACATGGGAGAACCTTGTCTCTCTACTAAAAATACAAAAATTAGCTGGGCGTGGTATCTTGCACCTGTAGTTCCAGATACTTGGGAGGCTAAGGCACAAGAAGCACTTGAATCTGGGAGGCGGAGATTGCAGTAAGCCGAGATTGCATCACTGCACTCCAGCTTAGGTGACAAAGCAAGAATCTACCTAAAATAAAAACGAGACAAACAAACATAGAATCATTTTTATTATTTTTAAAGCACTTTGCAAAATGGTAGAGTTCCAACCAAGACTGACCAGCACTTAAGCTGTTTGTGTTCCATTTTACCTCCTAAGATGACAGTTGTTTTACAAAAATAAAATGTCATGTAGACGACTTGCAATGGCTTGTAGTCAGCTTACCTTAAGATCTTATTGCATGCCTGCTTTATCATTTTTTTTTTTTTTTTGAGACGGAGTCTCGCCTTGTCACCCAGGCTAGAGTGCAGTGGCACTATCTCAGCTCACTGCAACCTGTCTCCCGGGTTCAAGCAATTTGCTTGCCTCAGCCTCCCAAATAGCTGGGGCTACAGGTGCATGCCACCAAGCCCAGCTAATTTTTTGTATATATTTAGTAGAGACACCACCACCATGTTGCTCAGGCCGGTCATGAACCCCTGAGCTCAGGCAATCTGCCCACTTTGGCCTCCCAAAGTGCTGGGATTACAGGCATAAGCCACAGTGCCCAGCCTG